AACCTTCCTTCCGAGGAGTGGCTGGTGGGTTTGAACCGCCAGCCGTCTGGTTAGCAGGCAAGTGTCTTAGCCACTATGCTACCAGAGCTCCCCTATAAATGTAAGGAATGTACTAAAGCGGAGAGAAGCCCTATAAATGTAAGGAATGTACTAAAGCATTTTGTAAGCTGTCACACCTCTCTAGACATAAAAGAATTCACACTGGAGACAGGCCCTATGAATGTAAGGAATGTGGGAAAGCCTTTATTCGGTTCTCCTACCTCTCTGGACACAAAAGCATTCACAGTGGAGACAGCCCCTATAAATGTAAGGAATGTGGGAAAGCATTTGGTCAGCCCTCAGTCCTCTCTCTACATCAAAGAATTCACAGCAGAGAGAAGACCTATGAATGTAAGGAATGTGGGAAAGCATTTGGTTGGCCCTCAAACCTCTCTAGGCATAGAAGAAGTCACAATGAACAGAGGCTGTATAAATGTAAGGAATGTGGGTAAGCATGTAGTCAGCCCTCATAGCTTTCTGAACATGGAAGAATTCACAGTGGATAGTCCTTATAAATTTAAGAAATGTTGGAGTGCTTTTAAAAATACCTCATACCTCACTTTATACTTAAGTCACAGTGCAGAGAGGCCTTACAAATGTGAGGAATATGTAAAAGCCTTTAGCCATTCATCACAGCTATGTCAACATACAGAAAATAGCAGTAGAGAAAGACCTTACCAATGTAAACAGTGTGGGAAACCTCCAGTCATTCCTATTGTCTGAGAAGACAAAAAATTCACAGTTGAGGGAAGCCTCAGGAAGGCAAGGGATGTGGGAAAGCCTTTTTTCAAAACTTACACCCCACTTTACATATGAAAACTCACAGGTGATAGAGGCAGTTGGAATGAAAGCAATATGGGAAAGCCTTCAGTGATTCTTCACCCCTCACTAAAGAGAAGTCACAGTGGAGAGAAGCCTTATACATGGTAAGAATGTGGGAAAGCCTATAGTTCCTTACATGTCATTTCTGAATAACTCATACTCAAGAGACTTATGTGTCAAGATTGGGATGTTTTCATCATCCTGTTATAATATGAAATAGGAAATTCTTGTAAATCTGCCCTTAAAAAAGGGTTTCAGTGAGTAAGGAAATAATTCCAACTGAAAGACTGGATGATTAGAATTATGTTGTGGCTTTGCGAGAAATGATTGTTTTACTATAACTGTGGGACCATGCTTATCAGTATTTCCTTTTTCAATCCAATCTTTATCTTTTTCATAAGTCTTTGTCTGTTACAAATAAAGTTACAGGGAATAACCTTTAGCAAATATGTTGTATTTTCACACTTTTAATGATGTTATTTTGGGTACAGTTGCATACACTCACCGTTGAGAGTCCCATTGCTTGGCAGGGGTATCTTAGTATTATTCAAGGAGATATCTTTGCTCTTCAGCACTTGGTACAAGTCTTTTGCAACAGATTTGCCCAATGCAATTCGTCTTTTGATGTCTTTTTTTATTATTATTATTTTAAGTGATGGTCATGTACAAATTTTCACCTGTCAGTAGCACCAGGCCAGATTTTTCTGTCTCACTCCCCAAGTCTTCCATAACCTTATCATTCTTTTTTTTTTTTAATGCATTTTATTGACATGTAATTTATGTATAGTGAAATACACAAAACTAAAGTGACAATGGGTCAATGCATTTCTTTTGGCAGTATTCCCTCCTCTCCCATCCCACTGCTTGCTACCAACAAAGGTTTCCCTGCATATGTAAACATTTTCTTGAACCTCCACAACAACAAACTAATACGGTGTTTGTCCTTCTGTGATTAACTTATTTCACTCAGCATAATGTCCTTCAGCCCCAGGAATACAGGTGAGGAGAGACAACTCAGGGATGCCCAAAGCAGCAGGCCGGAAGAGCAGGAGAAAGGGGATGAAAAGCCAGGTACCCGTACAGAAGAGCAGTCAGCCCCAGGGATACAGGTGAGGAGAGACAACTCAGGGACACCCAAAGCAGCAGACCGGAAGAGCAGGAAAAAGGGGATTAAAAGCCAAGAAGCCAGAGACCAGAGCAATCAGCTGAAGGGATTAGGTCAGGAGAGGAAACTCAGGCCCACCCAGAGCAACAGGCCAGAAGAGCAGGAGAAAGGGGGTAAAAGCCAGAAACGCGGACAGAAGAGCAGTCAGACCCAGGGTTACAGGTGAGGAGAGACAACTCAGGGACACCCAAAGCAGCAGGCGGGAAGAGCGGGAGAAAGGGGATTAAAAGCCAGGAAGCCAGAGAGAAGAGCAATCAGCCGAAGGGATTAGGTGAAGAGAGGAAACTCAAGCCCGCCCAAAGCAGCAGGACTGTAGAGCAAGAGAAAGGGGATAAAAGCCAGGAACCAGGACAGAGGAGCTGTCAGCCCCAGGGACAACTCAGGGACGCCCAAAGCAGCAGGCCAGAAGAGCAGGAGAAAGGGTATTAAAAGCCAGGAAGCCAGACAGAGCAACAGTCAGCCACAGGGACCCAGGTGGGGGTGATACGAGAGGTCTCCAACAGCGAGACAAACTTGTCTGGCAGTTTGTCCTACTGTGGTGTCATGTAGACATGAGTTTTGAGGCTGAGCCTCTGGTGTTTAAAACCTAGCGAGATGCACCTGGTGCACAGGTAACAGCCCAGCTTATAGACTGAGACAGACTAGGAAGAAGGAAGAGGCCGTCCACTTCTCAAAGTATTGTCCAGGGAAAACCTTATGAATAGCAAAGAAACACTGTTTGGTACATTACCGCGCACTCTTAGAAATAGTCTGTTTAGGCTAAAAGCCTCTCAAAATGGGAATGGGAAAGAGCTGCAACATCTAAGTAAACCCAGCCTTACTCATATGGAAAAGAGTAAGCTTTCGAGACCTTCATTTGCTGATGTGGCACCACTCAAATTTAAGAGAAACAGCCGCAGACATCCATTAATCATCGGTACAGGGAATGTACGAAGTATGAATCTAGGAAAATTGGAAGTTGTCAAAAAGGAAATGGAATGCATAAAGATTGATATCCTTGGCATTAGTGAGCTGAAATGGACTGGTTTTGGCCATTTTGAATCAGACAACCATATGATCTACTATGCCGGG